TTATTGCCATACACATTGCATATATTATTATTGCTAAACACATTGCATATATTTGTATTGCTATACACATTGCATATATTATTATTGCTATACACATTGCATATATTATTATTGCTGTACACATAGCCTATATTATTATTGCTATACATATTTCATACATTAGTATTGCCATACAAATTGCATATATTATTATTGCTATATACATTACATATATTATTATTGCTATACACATTGCATATATTATTATTGCTTTACACATTGCATACATTATTATTGCTATACACATTGCATATATTATTATAGCTATACACATTGCATATATTATTATTGCTTTACACATTGCATATATTATTAATTGCTATACACATTGCATTCATTATTATTGCTATACACATTGCATATATTATTAATTGCTATACACATTGCATACATTATTATTGCTATACACATTGCATATATTATTATTGCTATACACATTGCATATATTATTATTGCTTTACACATTGCATACATTATTAATTGCTATACACATTGCATTCATTATTATTGCTATACACATTGCATATATTATTAATTGCTATACACATTGCATACATTATTATTGCTATACATATTGCATATATTTTTATTTCCATACACATTGCATATATTATTATTGCTATACACACTGCATATATTATCACAATGCAAACAAAAAAAACACACTGACAACAATATATGCTTTAAATTTTGATTTGAAGCTTTCGTGACTGTAGGAATCCACACATTCTTTGGTTTCTTTAGGTAAAGTTCATCACGTGGGTAGAACAATAAAATAATCTTTTCATCGGGTGGGACAACCACGGGCAAGAAAACTTCAGCAGCGGATGTCTCACCTGATGACGATTGCTGGTTGTTAGCGGTCGAAACGTCGTGATTTGTTTCATTTGACTCCTAACCCACGTGATGGCTTTGCCGGAAGAACGGAAGAGTATACTCCACGCCGCGGCGCGTCAAGATTCGAGATTTAGTAAATATGTTTTACCCTCTTCTTTGGCTCTTTCGGTAAAGTCACCACGTAGAATGAGAATAAAATAATAAATTGATAAGATAAAATAACACAATAATATTCTCACGACGTTTCGGCCACAACACAAGCGGCCTTCATCAGGTGAAGGGACGAGACTGTCTGGAGGACAGCGCTGGAGACTGGACCAATCAAATTCAAGGACGGTGCATATTATCATCAGAGTTGTCTTTTTTTGTTTGCATTTTGACTGCTTGTGTTGTGGTTATTGCAAACGTGATGCCTTGAATAAAGGTGTCAGTTTTTGTGCCAGTTAAAAGGGTGAAACCTATTACTATATCTTGTTACTGGCAAAGGAGGTCTCAGAATGTAAATTCGAGATTAAATTTGTTTTTTAAACCCGGTCTAGGTCCTGACCCCCCCCCCCACCCATCGTGATGTCTATTCGTGTTTTTAATAAATGTTTTTACTAATAAACGCGTTTGAAACTAAAAATTTTTACTGGTTAATAATCGCGTTTTTAACTAAATTTAGACTAATTCGTGATCGTGTATTTAACTACATTTGACAAAAAAGGTGTTTTTAACGAATTTTTACTAATAATCGCGTTTTTAACTAATTAATACTAATGATTCGTGTTTTTAACTACATTTGACTAATTAATAACCGTGTTTTTAACTATTTATTTGCTAATTAATCGTGTTTTAACTCATTGATACTGATGAATAATCGTGTTTTAAACACGTTTTTGCTTATTGAGATTTGTGTTTTTTCATGAATTTATGGTTTTTAGCAATTGTACTAATTAATAATGGTGTTTTTTAACGTATACTAATTGATAATCGCGTTTTTTACACATTTTTACGAATTGATATTCGTGTTTTTAACTTTTTAAAAATTAATCATCGTGTTTTAAATTTAATTTGAATAATTAATAATCGTACATTCCGCTCCACGTCCCCCACACCAACGACGGCAAATGTCTGCGTCCAATCACAGCGGCTGTTGCTGGCCAGTTATGACCAATGAGAGGCTCGCTTCTATCGCCGCCCGTCATGGCGCCGGAGAGGCCGCTGTGGGTGCCCTCTCTTCCTTAGCGCCAGACCAACAATTGCACAACAAGCTATTATTATGTTAAACAAAGAACAAGATTTTTCCAATGGTTTCCTTTCGATGTGTTTCATTTTCTTCGCGCAAGCCACCCACTTTTATTATTGAGCACATCAACATTTGATTAATTCTGGGGTCAAAATATAGTTTATTTTCTCATTTCGACTGCAAAGAAATTGTGCGCGTAAATTTTGTTTTTTTTTAACCAATTATTTTTCTTTTTCCACTGCCGAAACCAAGCCGCGCCGGGGCCGAGCCAGCCTGGCCCGCGGCTCGGCGTTGTTTTTTTTTTCCCCCCCCCGATGACGGCGTTGAAGATGTTATCGTGACGACGACGATGATGATGTCAGCGATGTTAGCGACGACGAGCGATGGGGGACGATTCGGAGGCGCCAGGAGTAGGAACCACAAACGAGGAGTGGTCATGGCAGCAGTAGCAGCCACGCTGCGATGAGTCGGTGCTTCCGCAAATCATCGCGAGCGCTACGATCCTCTACCGCAGCGCTCCCCAAACTTTTTGGCACCGGGGACCGGTTTCGTGGAAGACGATTTTTTTCACGGACCGGGGGTGGGGAGGGGGTGGGGGGGTTCATGGTTGGGTCTTTCACACTTTTAGCTTGTGGTAGGCCTCGGCAAGGTAAGGTAATTTACCCTTCTTACCGGGTAAAGGTGTCGACATGTCAAGGGGTAAGGTAAAGGATCGGGTAAAGGTAGCGCGGAAGAATTACCCGGTAAACAATTTGTTTACCTACTACCCTGTTTGCCTACTACCTTGTTTGCCTACTACCTTGTTTGCCTACTACCTTGTTTGCCTACTACCCTGTTTGCCTACTACCCTGTTTACCAACTACCCTGTTTACCTACTACCCTGTTTACCTACTACCCTGTTTACCAACTACCCTGTTTACCAACTACCCTGTTTACCTACTACCCTGTTTACCTACTACCCTGTTTACCTACTACCCTGTTTACCTACTACCTTGTTTACCTACTACCTTGTTTGCCTACTACTCTTGTTTACCTACTACCCTGTTTACCTACTACCTTGTTTACCTACTACCCTGTTTACCTACTACCATGTTTACCTACTACCTTGTTTACCTACTACCTTGTTTGCCTACTACCTTGTTTGCCTACTACCTTGTTTACCTACTACCCTGTTTACCTACTACCCTGTTTACCTACTACCCTGTTTACCTACTACCTTGTTTACCTACTACCTTGTTTACCTACTACCTTGTTTACCGCTCGCTAAAAGCACCGTGGCACAGTCCGTGGCCTCCATTTAAAATTTGAATCATCGAGAGTCTTCTATAGATGAATAAAGCGCTCTACCTAGCATTTACCTGTTATAAACCTTCTTCACGTGTAGTAGTGCCCCAGTAAATACCCTGTTATAAACCTTCTTCACGTGTAGTAGTGCCCCAGTAATTACCCTGTTATAAACCTTCACGTGTAGTAGTGCCCCAGTAATTAACCTGTTATAAACCTTCTTCACGTGTAGTAGTGCCCCAGTAATTACCCTGTTATAAACCTTCTTCACGTGTAGTAGTGCCCCAGTAATTAACCTGTTATAAACCTTCTTCACGTGTAGTAGTGCCCCAGTAATTGCCCTGTTATAAACCTTCACGCGTAGTAGTGCCCCAGTAATTACCCTGTTATAAACCTTCTTCACGTGTAGTAGTGCCCCAGTAATTACCCTGTTATAAACCTTCACGCGTAGTAGTGCCCCAGTAATTACCCTGTTATAAACCTTCTTCACGTGTAGTAGTGCCCCAGTAAATACCCTGTTATAAACCTTCTTCACGTGTAGTAGTGCCCCAGTAATTACCCTGTTATAAACCTTCACGTGTAGTAGTGCCCCAGTAATTAACCTGTTATAAACCTTCTTCACGTGTAGTAGTGCCCCAGTAATTACCCTGTTATAAACCTTCTTCACGTGTAGTAGTGCCCCAGTAATTAACCTGTTATAAACCTTCTTCACGTGTAGTAGTGCCCCAGTAATTGCCCTGTTATAAACCTTCACGCGTAGTAGTGCCCCAGTAATTACCCTGTTATAAACCTTCTTAACGCGTAGTAGTGCCCCAGTAATTACCCTGTTATAAACCTTCTTCACGTGTAGTAGTGCCCCAGTAATTACCCTGTTATAAACCTTCTTCACGTGTAGTAGTGCCCCAGTAATTACCCTGTTATAAACCTTCTTCACGTGTAGTAGTGCCCCAGTAATTACCCTGTTATAAACCTTCACGCGTAGTAGTGCCCCAGTAATTACCCTGTTATAAACCTTCTTCACGTGTAGTAGTGCCCCAGTAATTACCCTGTTATAAACCTTCTTCACGTGTAGTAGTGCCCCAGTAATTACCCTGTAATCGGGTAATTTGTATGGGGTAAGGGTAAAAGGTGGGGTAAGGGTAAAAGGTAGGGTAAAGGTAAGCTCGTTGCTTTTAACCTTTTACCTTACCTGCTGAAGGGTAAAAGGTAGAATGATTGTATTGTGGTAAGGTAAAAGGTAGGGTAAAGGTAGTCTCGTTTTTTTACCTTACCTTGCCGAGGCCTAGCTTGTGGGCTTACTCATTGTGGCTACTAGGGGGTTAGAGCTTGTGGGCTTACCAACACCACGTGACTGAGACAAGTTGCACGGTGCGGGAAAGAGTCGCGGACAGAAGTGGTAAATAGTAAAACAATGGGGGCGGGCCACGCGCGGATTCACCGCTCTCAACTCCTGCTGCTGTGCGGCCCGGTTCCTAACAGGCCACGGACCAGGGGTTGGGGACCCCTGCTGTAGCGGTCCGCGGCCCGGGGTTGGGGACCCATGCTGTAGCGGTCCGGGGTTGGGGGCCCCTGCTCTAGCGTCCCCATGTGTGCGCGGTGCCGCTTGTCGCAGGCCTGGCTGACGTCAAGAGCGCCACCTTCTTCCTGGGGTTCTCCTACGGCTTCTCCCCCATCCTCAAGACGCTCACCGACACCATCAGCACCGACACTATCTACGCTATGACGGTGACGCACGCACTGCACGTCCGGCGGCGAGTGGTGGCGAGCGGGGAATGATGAGTGGTGAATGGTGGCGAGTGACGAGTGGCGAGTGTTGGGTGGTGAGTGATGGCTGGTGGTGAGCGGGGAGTGATGAGTGGTGAGTCGTGATGGTGATGTTTCTTTATTGCAGACGCTGATGCTGCTGGGACATCTGCTACTGTTTGATTACGGGATGAGTCCGAAGAGGTGAGAGATTACATCATCACCATCATAATCACCACCACCATCACCACTTCATTACCATCACCATCTTTGCCATCGACATGATCGGTATGGTGTGTCTGTGTGTAGTGTGTTGTATTGTTTCATGTACGGTTTATTGTGTATTGTATGGTGTATATATGGTGTATTGTGTGTATGGTATGGTGTTTAGTATGTTTGTGGTATTGTCTTTGTAGGCTCGCAAAAATAGGGGACCACTGTCTTTGTGGCGAGTCGGGGAGACGTCTCTGAGCATGGAGGTGTTCGGCGCGCTGTGTATGGTACAGTGCATGTGGTGCCGGGCGGTAACGCTGCGGTGAGCATTCTCATGGGAGGAAAGGCTCACTTCAATTGGCTTTTCCCTCATGGCGTGTGTAGCCACCACAGCGGCCAATGGGGGACTCTGGACAGGTGCGAGGAGCTGGTAACCCTTCAATTTAAGTACCACTAAAATACGTGGAAAAAAAATCTAACTAAGCTTGTGCCAAAGGCCCAGGAGGTACAGGCATCTATGACGTCTCCTTGCCAAACTCCACTTGGCGGAGCTAGGAGACTGAACCCATGCCCTTGGGGTTCCTCCAGGAATGGCAAAAAGGCACTGTGAGTTGCCACGTGGAATGTTTGAACGCTCACTCTGTTGGGAGATGGACCGGCACTGCCTGGACCTCTGTGGGATACAGGAGGTCCCGTGGACCAGTTCTGGCTCCAGTCATCATGAGGGATGCAGTTCTCCACTTGGGGAAGGAGACTGCCAAACATCAGGGAGTGGAACTGTTTTTTTGAACAAAAGAATGAAGGGAGTGTGGGAGCGTGGCGGTGAGGTGTGGGAAGCTGTAAGTCCAAGGCTACCGTGAGCGAGCTCGCCTCCCCATCACCAGAATGCGAGGAATAGTGGGTGGTGGTGGTTGCTTACGCCCCCACAGAAGATCAACATCAGTGTAGGGATGCAGGAAAAGGCCAACGAGTCAGATGCCTTCTATGACTTCCTGTTACAGGTGCTAGCTAAAGTGGCCCCTTGGGATAGTCATCCTGTTGGGTGACTTTAATGCCCGAATGGGTCATGATGCTGGCACTTGGGCTGGAGTGATTGGAAGGCATGGGCCAGATCAGCTAAATAACAATGGTAGGCGACTACACTTTTGTGCAGCCCATGGGCTTGTAATGACTAACACGCTGGTCTGGCATCAGGGCATCCACACATCATGGATGCATGCCAGGTCCCAGCAAGAACATCTGCTGGACTATATAGTGATGGAACAGCAGATGCAGGCCCATGTCCTTGACATGAGGACCTATCGTGAAGCTGAACTGCCCACTATCGGCTTGTCATCTGAAAGATGCGCCAGCCATTCTTCCAGGTGGTGGGTGTCCATCTAGGACCCCATTCAAACCCACAGTGGTCGGGTCTTAGCTCGCTGATGAAAGTTGCAAATGAAAATGTCTTCAGCACATGCAGCTGGGGTTGGCATTGTCCATCCCCCCTCCTCCTGATGCCGAGAAGAAATGGCCAATGTTTAGGACTGTGGCTCATGTAGCTGCAACGGCTGCTTTGGGTACACGGTCCAAACCTGCCCTGAGACCCCGGCTGACAGAGGAGTTGTTCCAGCTGGCTGAGAAAAAGCGACAGGCCCCATTCCCACCGTCTACAGCATCCCACACCAGAGAATGTGGAGGCTTATCGCAGCCTCAACTCGGAGGTTAGGAGAGCTGTGCGGCGGTGCAAGGATGAGCGGTGGTCGCGTGTTGCTCGGGAGGCAGAGTCTGACTCAGAAGCTGACAAATTACCCTTTATTCCATTAAAAAGGTAACTTGCAGTGCCACACCTTAGGGGAAAGAAGGGTGATCCGATCTCTGACACCCAGCAACAGGTTTGCAGATTTCCTGAGCATTTCTGTGAGGTCTTGGAGGAGGGGAAATCCCTCGGCCTGGAAAACATCGTGGGGAAAAGTTGAGCCATGACCCTGCTGAGGCTGCGGTGCCTCAAATATTGGATGTAGTCACCGCTGTGAGTGGCTGGCTGAAGTGCCATCTGTTGAGGAAGTATGGAAGTCAATCCAGAGTCTGAGACCAGGAAAAGCGCCGGGCAGAGATGATCTCCCACGCGAACTGCCGAAGGATGGTGGTGTTTCTGTGCAGAATGCCCTATTTTTACATAACAGTCAAGACCACTGTACGAGTTCCGCAGGATTGGAAGGATGCCCTGGTGGTCCCCCTCTTTAAGGACTGCACAGACCCGAACAACTACAGGGGGCATCTCACTCCTCAGTGTGCCGGGAAAGATCCTGGCAAGGATTAGTCAACATCGCCTTGCCAGGCTCGCTGAGGAGAGGCTTGCGGAGCCCCAATGCGGTTTCAGGAAAGGGCGGTCCTGCACAGATGCCATATTTTCTGTCCGTCTGCTACAGCAGAGGTGTAGGGATTTCCAGCAAGACCTGCATCTCTGCTTTATTGACCTGGTCAAGGCCTATGATACCTTCAGTAGGTCTAGCTCTGGGTTGTTCTTCATGCTTTCGGAGTTCCAAAGCTGGGCAAACTTATGACCGGCTCTGGTTTGACAGCAGAGGTCTCGCTCCGACTCAGTCAAGCGGCATTCTTTTCATCGGCTGCGTAACGCTGTGTGTGGAAGCTACCTGGTGTGTCGATTCACATGAAGCTTCAGGTTTTCTTGGGCACGGTCATGCCCTCCATTATCTATGCTTATGAAAGTGGACCCCCCCCCCCAAACGAACATCTTTGACAGCTAAAAACATTCAGGCTGGCCTGCCCACGATCCATCCTGGGTTTGAGCAGGCTGGATTGTGAGTTCGCAAATCCTCAAAAGCTCTGGACACAGTCCCATCGGTGACCTCCTCCAGGAGCCAAGGCTGGGTCATGTAGCCTGCATGCCCAGCCAGCTTTTGTTCGGCCGGTTCGAGGGGGCTAAAAGGGCACGGCACAGGCTAGAGAAGAGATGGAGTGACGTGGTACAAGAGGATGTGGAGCCGAGTGGAATTTCCAATAACTGGGACCAGCGGTGTCAAGATCGGCCTCTGTGGAGGAGGCTCGTAAAGGACGCTACTGGGCAGTTGGAGGCAGTCGCCCTCCAACAACAACGGAGGGTGGAGGAGCGACGCTCATATCGAGCGGAGCGCCAGGCAGCTTAAACACAGCAAGTGGGGACAGTAGAGGGCACAGGTGGTGCATCAGCCACTCATCTCAGTCAGTCGACCCGTGGCACCTGCTGGGTCTGCCCCGTGACCTCCTGCCAGCGGGCGTTCGACACTTCACGTGGCCTCAACGTGCACCTAGCCTGGCACAAGCGCCGTGGTGACGTCACCGTCACTTGGCGGCGAATGGTGGTTATTGGTACTGGTCAGTAAAATAAAACCTCTTGTGGATTGGTGTATGGTATGGTGTGCATGGTACGGTACGGTGTGTTTGTGTGTGTGTTGTTAGGGTGACGTCTCTGAGCATGGCGGTGTTTGGCGCCGTGTGCTTGGCATCGCGTCTCCCCACCGCCCCCCACGCCTTCGCCATCACCGCCTTCGCCTACCAGATCTTCGCTCTGTGGCCATCCCTGCAGCTGATCATCAAGGTGATGATGGCGATAGTGGTGATGGCGATAGCGGTGGTGATGGTATCCAGTCGTAGCCTACATGAGTAAGCCCACAAGCTAACCCCTAATAGCCTACATGAGTAAGCCCACAAGCTCTAACCCCTAGTAGCCTCCAAGAGAAAGCCCACAAGCTCTAACCCCTAGTAGCCTACATGAGTAAGCCCACAAGCTCTAACCCCTAGTAGCCTACATGAGTAAGCCCACAAGCTCTAACCCCTAGTAGCCTACATGAGTAAGCCCACAAGCTCTAACCCCTAGTAGCCTACATGAGTAAGCCCACAAGCTCTAACCCCTAGTAGCCTACATGGGTAAGCCCACAAGCTTTAACCCCTAGTAGCCTACATGAGTAAACCCACAAGCTCTAACCCCTAGTAGCCTACATGAGTAAGCCCACAAGCGCTAACCCCTAGTAGCCTACATGAGTAAGCCCACAAGCTCTAACCCCTAGTAGCCTACATGAGTAAGCCCACAAGCGCTAACCCCTAGTAGCTTACATGAGTAAGCCCACAAGCTCTAACCCCTATTAGCCTACATGAGTAAGCCCACAGGCTTTAACCCCTAGTAGCCTACATGAGTAAGCCCACAAGCTCTAACCCCTAGTAGCCTACATGAGTAAGCCCACAATCTCTAACCCCTAGTAACCTACCTGAGTAAGCCCACAAGCTAACCCCTAGTAGCTACAATGAGTAAGCCCACAAGCTCTAACCCCTTGTAGGCTACATGAGTAACCCCACAAGCTCTAAAGCCTAGTAGCCGAAATAGAGTAAGCCTACAAGCTCTAACCCCTAGTAGCGACAATGCGTAAGCTCACAAGCTCTAACCCCTAGTAGCCTACATGAGTAAGCCCACAAGCTCTAACCCCTAGTAGCCTACATGAGTAAGCCCACAGGCTTTAACCCCTAGTAGCCTACATGAGTAAGCCCACAAGCTCTAACCCCTAGTAACCTACCTGAGTAAGCCCACAAGCTAACCCCTAGTAGCTACAATGAGTAAGCCCACAAGCTCTAACCCCTAGTAGCCTACATGAGTAAGCCCACAAGCTCTAACCCCTAGTAGCCTACACGAGTAAGCCCACAAGCTCTAACCCCTAGTAGCCTACATGAGTAAGCCCACAAGCTCTAACCCCTAGTAGCCTACATGAGTAAGCCCACAAGCTCTAACCCCTAGTAGCCTACATGAGTAAGCCCACAAGCTATAACCCGTAGTAGACTACATGAGTAAGCCCACAAGCTCTAACCCCTAGTAGCCTACATGAGTAAGCCCACAAGCTCTAACCCCTAGTAGACTACATGAGTAAGCCTACAAGCTCTAACCCCTAGTAGCCTACATGAGTAATCCCACAAGCTCTAACCCCTAGTAGTCTACATGAGTAAGCCCACAAGCTCTAACCCCTAGTAGCCTACACGAGTAAGCCCACAAGTTCTAACCCCTAGTAGCCTACATGAGTAAGCCCACAAGCTCTAACCCCTAGTAGCCTACACGAGTAAGCCCACAAGCTCTAACCCCTAGTAGCCTACATGAGTAAGCCCACAAGCTCTAACCCTTAGTAGCCTACATGAGTAATCCCACAAGCTCTAACCCCTAGTAGTCTACATGAGTAAGCCCACAAGCTCTAACCCCTAGTAGCCTACATGAGTAAGCCCACAAGCTCTAACCCCTAGTAGCCTACATGAGTAAGCCCACAAGCTCTAACCCCTAGTAGCCTACATGAGTAATCCTACAAGCTCTAACCCCTAGTAGCCTACATGAGTAATCCCACAAGCTCTAACCCCTAGTAGCCTACATGAGTAAGCCCACAAGCTAGGCCCCTAGTAGCCTACATGAGTAAGCCCACAAGCTCTAACCCCTAGTAGCCTACATGAGTAAGCCCATAAGCTCTAACCCCTAGTAGCCTACATGAGTAAGCCCACAAGCGCTAACCCCTTGTAGGCTACATGAGTAAGCCCACAAGCTCTAACCCCTATTAGCCTACATGAGTAAGCCCACAGGCTTTAACCCCTAGTAGCATACATGAGTAAGCCCACAAGCTCTAACCCCTAGTAGCCTACATGAGTAAGCCCACAAGCTCTAACCCCTAGTAACCTACCTGAGTAAGCCCACAAGCTAACCCCTAGTAGCTACAATGAGTAAGCCCACAAGCTCTAACCCCTAGTAGCCACAATGAGTAACCCCACAAGCTCTAACCCCTTGTAGGCTACATGAGTAACCCCACAAGCTCTAACCCCTTGTAGGCTACATGAGTAAGCCCACAAGCTCTAACCCCTAGTAGCCTACATGAGTAAGCCTACAAGCTCTAACCCCTAGTAGCCTACATGAGTAACCCCACAAGCTCTAACGCCTAGTAGCCTACATGAGTAAGCCCACAAGCTCTAACCCCTAGTAGCCACAATGAGTAAGCTCACAAGCTCTAACCCCTAGTAGCCTACATGAGTAAGCCCACAAGCTCTAACCCCTAGTAGCCTACATGAGTAAGCCCACAAGCTCTAACCCCTAGTAGCCTACACGAGTAAGCCCACAAGCTCTAACCCTTAGTAGCCTACATGAGTAAGCCCACAAGCTCTAACCCCTAGTAGCCTACATGAGTAATCCCACAAGCTCTAACCCCTAGTAGTCTACATGAGTAAGCCCACAAGCTCTAACCCCTAGTAGCCTACATGAGTAAGCCCACAAGCTCTAACCCCTAGTAGCCTACATGAGTAAGCCCACAAGCTCTAACCCCTAGTAGCCTACATGAGTAATCCTACAAGCTCTAACCCCTAGTAGCCTACATGAGTAATCCCACAAGCTCTAACCCCTAGTAGCCTACATGAGTAAGCCCACAAGCTCTAACCCCTAGTAGCCACAACGAGTAAGCCCACAAGCTCTAACCCCTAGTAGCCTACATGAGTAAGCCCATAAGCTCTAACCCCTAGTAGCCTACATGAGTAAGCCCACAAGCGCTAACCCCTAGTAGCCTACATGAGTAAGCCCACAAGCTCTAACCCCTATTAGCCTACATGAGTAAGCCCACAGGCTTTAACCCCTAGTAGCATACATGAGTAAGCCCACAAGCTCTAACCCCTAGTAGCCTACATGAGTAAGCCCACAAGCTCTAACCCCTAGTAACCTACCTGAGTAAGCCCACAAGCTAACCCCTAGTAGCTACAATGAGTAAGCCCACAAGCTCTAACCCCTAGTAGCCACAATGAGTAACCCCACAAGCTCTAACCCCTTGTAGGCTACATGAGTAACCCCACAAGCTCTAACCCCTTGTAGGCTACATGAGTAAGCCCACAAGCTCTAACCCCTAGTAGCCTACATGAGTAAGCCCACAAGCTCTAACCCCTAGTAGCCTACATGAGTAACCCCACAAGCTCTAACGCCTATTAGCCTACATGAGTAAGCCCACAAGCTCTAACCCCTAGTAGCCACAATGAGTAAGCTCACAAGCTCTAACCCCTAGTAGCCTACATGAGTAAGCCCACAAGCTCTAACCCCTAGTAGCCTACATGAGTAACCCCACAAGCTCTAACGCCTAGTAGCCTACATGAGTAAGCCCACAAGCTCTAACCCCTAGTAGCCACAATGAGTAAGCTCACAAGCTCTAACCCCTAGTAGCCTACATGAGTAAGCCCACAAGCTCTAACCCCTAGTAGCCTACACGAGTAAGCCCACAAGCTCTAACCCCTAGTAGCCTACATGAGTAAGCCCACAAGCTCTAACCCCTAGTAGCCTACATGAGTAAGCCCACAAGCTCTAACCCCTAGTAGCCTACATGAGTAAGCCCACAAGCTCTAACCCCTAGTAGCCTACATGAGTAAGCCCACAAGCTCTAACCCCTAGTAGACTACATGAGTAAGCCCACAAGCTCTAACCCCTAGTAGCCTACATGAGTAAGCCCACAAGCTCTAACCCCTAGTAGACTACATGAGTAAGCCCACAGGCTTTAACCCCTAGTAGCCTACATGAGTAAGCCCACAAGCTCTAACCCCTAGTAACCTACCTGAGTAAGCCCACAAGCTAACCCCTAGTAGCTACAATGAGTAAGCCCACAAGCTCTAACCCCTAGTAGCCACAATGAGTAACCCCACAAGCTCTAACCCCTTGTAGGCTACATGAGTAACCCCACAAGCTCTAACGCCTAGTAGCCTACATGAGTAAGCCCACAAGCTCTAACCCCTAGTAGCCACAATGAGTAAGCTCACAAGCTCTAACCCCTAGTAGCCTACATGAGTAAGCCCACAAGCTCTAACCCCTAGTAGCCTACATGAGTAAGCCCACAAGCTCTAACCCCTAGTAGCCTACATGAGTAAGCCCACAAGCTCTAACCCCTAGTAGCCTACATGAGTAAGCCCACAAGCTTTAACCCCTAGTAGCCTACATGAGTAAGTCCACAAGCTCTAACCCCTAGTAGCCTACATGAGTAAGCCCACAAGCTCTAACCCCTAGTAGCCTACATGAGTAAGCCCACAGGCTTTAACCCCTAGTAGCCTACATGAGTAAACCCACAAGCTCTAACCCCTAGTAGCCTACATGAGTAAGCCCACAAGCTCTAACCCCTAGTAGCCTACACGAGTAAGCCCACAAGCTCTAACCCCTAGTAGCCTACATGAGTAAGCCCACAAGCTCTAACCCCTAGTAGCCTACACGAGTAAGCCCACAAGCTCTAACCCCTAGTAGCCTACATGAGTAAGCCCACAAGCTCTAACCCCTAGTAGCCTACATGAGTAAGCCCACAAGCTCTAACCCCTAGTAGCCTACATGAGTAAGCCCACAAGCTATAACCCGTAGTAGACTACATGAGTAAGCCCACAAGCTCTAACCCCTAGTAGCCTACATGAGTAAGCCCACAAGCTCTAACCCCTAGTAGACTACATGAGTAAGCCTACAAGCTCTAACCCCTAGTAGCCTACATGAGTAATCCCACAAGCTCTAACCCCTAGTAGTCTACATGAGTAAGCCCACAAGCTCTGACCCCTAGTAGCCTACACGAGTAAGCC